ATGACTTGCTCTGTTTTTAGTATTTTATCCCACCTCCACAAAAGAAAAAATGATTCCTGGAGAATAACGCAATGAAGAGAACTATGTTCAAATTATTGTCACTTAAATTTATCTTTTGTACCCATACCAACTTAAATAGCAAACAATGAAAAAAAGATTTTTATAATTTTGGCTTATTTCCATTAACTTCAAGACATTTCTTAACATGTGTGTGCCTGCTAAGTCGCTTCAGTCATTTCCAACTCTGTGTGACCCCATGGACTGTAGCCTTCCAGTCTCCTCTGTCAATGGGATTCTCCAGGCAAGAATATTGGAGTGGGTTGCCATGTCCTCCTCCAGGGATCTTTCCCATCTAGGGATCAAACTGTCTCTTAGGTCTACTTGCATTGGCAGGTTGGTTCTTTACCACTAGCGCCACCTAGGAAGCCCCTTAACATATAAAAATAAATAATTTTTTATTGTTCTCAGAGAAACTAATCAAAAAATGTCTTTCATTGCATTATTATGGGTTGTATCATTTAGCCAGCCCCTTATCCATATGTTGAAAGGATATAGAGCTACACACCATAACCACCAGTTCCTAAGAGTGTGGCCTTGTTTGGAAAAAGGGTCACTGCAGTGTAATTAGTTAAAATGCACACAGGGAGAACACTGTGTAAATATTGGAGATGTACTGCCACAAGCCAAGGACATAGAAGAATTTAGGAGAAAGATCTGAAACAAATTCTTCCCTCATACTTTCAAAAAGGAGCATGGGCCACTGACAATTTGACCTGAGATATGGCCTCCAGAACTATGATACAGTACCTTTCTGTATCACAGCTTGAGGTAGTGTTATAACAGACCTAGCAAACTAATATACACATCATATACCTTTTAAGACCGTTTGTAAAATGAGATGACAGGAATTAACTGGAATGGAGAGAACCACAAATTATTTCTCTCTCTCCTAAGTTCAATTCTATATACAAGAGTAAATGAAGCAATACTACTAAACTACCTTTGGAAATGTTTCTGTTTGAAACACAATTCTTACATTATTACATGGACAATATTTTTTAAACTTCAAAGCTTAAATATAAAATTTGTCAGGTTTATATTTTTAGTTATTCAATAGTTTTATTTCATATTATTACCATTTCATTTGCATTCCAAAACAATGATTATTGAAACTCTTGATTATTTGTTCATTTCACTAAGGTTTTTTATCATATATCTTTTCTGAAGTGTATTTAGAGTTCTTATTACAATTTTTTTTCACAATGACATATTTTCTTTTTTTTCATTTATTTATATTAGTTGGAGGCTAATTACAGTATTGTAGTGGTTTTTGCCATATATTGATATGAATCAGCCATGGATTTACATGTGTTCCCCATCCTGATCCCCCGTCCCACCTCCCTCCCCATCCCATCCCTCTGGGTCATCCCAGTGCACCAGCCCTAAACACTTGTCTCATGCATCCAACCTGGGCTGGCGATCTGTTTCACACTTGATAGTATACATGTTTCAATGCTGTTCTCTCAGATCATCCCACCCTCGCCTTCTCCCATAGAGTCCAAAAGTCTGCTCTATACATCTGTCTTTTTCTGTCTTGCATATAGGGTTATCATTTCCATCTTTCTAAATTCCATATATATGTGTTAATATGCTGTATTGGTGTTTTCCTTTCTGTCTTACTTCACTCTGTATAATAGGCTCCAGTTTCATCCACCTCATTAGAACTGTTTCAAATGCATTCTTTTTAATGGTTGAGTAATATTCCATGGTGTATATGTACCACAGCTTCCTTATCCATGCGTCTGCTGATGGGCATCTAGGTTGCTTCCATGTCCTGGCTATTATAAACAGTGCTGCAATGAACATTGGGGTGCATGTGTCTCTTTCAGATCTGGTTTCCTTGGTGTGTATGCCCAGCAATCAGATTGCTGTGTCATATGGCAGTTCTATTTCCAGTTTTTTAAGGAATCTCCACACTATTCTCCATAGTGGCTGTACTAGTTTGCATTCCTACCAACAGTGTAAGAGGGTTCCCTTTTCTCCACACCCTCTCCAGCATTTATTGCTTGTAGACTTTTGGATAGCAGCCATTCTGACCGGCGTGTAATGGTACCTCATTGAGGTTTTGATTTGCATTTCTCTGATAATGAGTGATATTGAGCATCTTTTCATGTGTCTGTTAGCCATCTGTATGTCTTCTTTGGAGAAATGTCTGTTTAGTTCTTTGGCCCACTTTTTTATTGTGTCATTTATTTTTCTGGAATTGAGCTGCAGGAGTTGCTTGTATATTTTTGAGATTAATTGTCTGTTGCTTCGTTTTCTATTATTCTATCCCATTCTGAAGCCTGTCTTTTCACCTTGCTTATAGTTTTCTTTGTTGTAAGAAAGCTTTTAAGTTTAATTAGGTCCCATTTGTTTATTTTTGCTTTTATTTCCCATATTCTGGGAGGTGGGTCATAGAGGATCCTGCTGTGATTTATGTCGGAGAGTGTTTTGCCTATGTTCTCCTCTAGGAGTTTTATAGTTTCTGCTCTTACATTTAGATCTTTAATCCATTTTGAGTTTATTTTTGTGTATGGTGTTAAAAAGTGTTCTAGTTTCAAATTCTTTTACAAGTGGTTGACCAGTTTTCCCAGCACCGTTTGTTAAACAGGTTGTCTTTTCTCCATTGTATATCCTTGCCTCCTTTGTCGAAAATAAGGTGACCATAGGTGTGTGGATTTATCTCTGGGCTTTCTATTCTGTTCCATTGATCTATATTTCTGTCTTTGTGCCAGCACCATACTGTCTTGATGACTGTGGCTTTGTAACAATGACATTTTTTCAAAAAGTTACACTGTGCACATTAAACACCCAGAACGATCTCCATTTCCATTAAGAAAACATTTACTGCAATGTTCCTTGCGTCAAGTAGCCTGTTGGAGGATCTGTCATATGTCAGGGCTTCCTCAATGGCTCAGCAGGTAAAGAATCCGCGTGCAATGTAGGAGACACAGGTTAGGTCCCTGGGTCAGGAAGATACCTGGAGAAGGAGATGGCAACTCAGAGAGTTAACTTAGGCAGGTTGATGAGGCGTCTGTCTAAGGCCCCTTTGAAGAAGAGGTAAACATTCCCTTTTTCACATTCTTTTGCCTTAGACAAGTAGGCCTTGTAGGCAGCCGTCTCTCTTATTCAAGGACAAGCCTTTTTTTTTGAGCGTTGGATGTATGTTACGGGAAAAGGCCTGGGCACAATTCTCATAGCCTTGAGGTATTTTTTATCTATTCTCAGTAGTTAGTTGAGAAGAATATAAGGCCTCACTTAAACTAGTGAGGCGGGTACTTTCCTGCCCCCTTCTGATGTCTATGTCAGAAGTTTTTCTGTCACTTGCACTTTAAATAACATCTACTCAAAGCTCTGAGTGATTGAGACTGTCTTTTGTCCCAGAGTTAAATCTTCTCCTCCAGAGACCATGAATCTGGTGACATTGTTCACCGTTTACTAAAAGCTATCACAGCCCACTCCAGTATCCTTGCCTGGAAAACCCAGTGGACAGAGGAGCCTGGCAGGCTACAGCCCAAAGGGTCACAGAGAGTCAGACACAGCTAAACATGCAGGGCCGGCATGGTTACATGTACTTTTTTTTTTTTTAAGTTTTAAATTCTTTTGAGAAAGTATGAAATGTAACAACAATGTCCACCCCAGAGTTGGGAGACAATAGGATACAATGGGCTTCCTTAGTAGCTCAGACGGTAAAGAATCTGCCTCCTTTGCAAGAGACCCGATTTCGATCCCTGGGTCAGCAAGATCGCCTGGAGAAGGGAATGGCTACCCACTCCAGTAATCTTGTCTGAAGTCCATGGACAGAGGAGCCTGGTGGGCTATACAGTCCATGGGGTCTCAAGAGAGTCAGGCACAAATGAGCGACTAACACTTTCACTTTGGGATTCCCAGGTGGCATTAGTGGCAAGGAAGCTGCCTGCCAGTGGAGGAGACATAAGAGAGAATGTGGGTTTGATCTCTGGCTGAGCAATGTGCCCTGGAGGAGGGCGTGGCAACCCACTTCAGTGTTCTTGCTTGCAAAATTCCAAGGACAGAGGAGCCTGGTGGTCTACAGTTCAGAGGGTCACAAAGAGATGGACAAGACTGAAATGACCACACACACACACGCAGGATGTAACAGAACTTCCTGAGGTCATGTCCTATATATAGGGGATGTCAGCCAATTCCAGTGACAGCCTCCCAGCGTGTTACTAGATATGGCTTTTTAAAATAACAGTAAATTTTAAGAAAATGGTGGAGATTTTAAAAAGTACGTGTTTAGTTTATTTGTGGCTTCTGGGATTCCTGGTCGACACTTGTGCTCTGTTAGGGTCACTAGGTACTCACAGAAACTTACACTCAAAATAGCCAAGATGTTTTTTGTTTTTGAGCCTGTGGCCTTCATTCATGACCCCCCAGGCAGAGACAAGACTCCCACACAAAGCAGGAAAAAACTCGTAGTTGTGGATTCTAGATTGCATTCCCCAATTCCCCTGCCCCAGACACTCTATGAGCCATATGTGTAGAAAGTCCTGGTCTCTGATGAACCTCTGAGAAAAGCAAATGGTGCAGAAGCCCCATTCTTGAGCAAAAGCAGCAATGGGGATGAAGTTCAAGTTCAAGAGAATATAGGCCTAGGTTCGTTCCCAGAAGACTGGGATGGAGGGACAGCCTACTATCAGCATCATGGGGCCAGTGGAAACTCCATGAACTTCTGGGCTCATAAGAACTGGGGAAGGGAAATTTCAGCACAGAGTTCTACAAGGGTGGGGCTGGGAGGGCAGTGTCATTTCTGCATCACTGTGAGCAGAAGAGGGCATGGAAGGAGGACTTAGGGATCTCAGTGGATCCTGCTCCTGTAGCATGATTGGCCTGGAATCTGGCTGACTTTTTACTTTGGAAATGGGGAAGGGGCTGCTGGGGGTGACCAGCTCATCCTTCAGCGGGGCCCAGCCTGGCTGCAGCAGGCACAGACGGTCATGGCAGAAGTGGCTCGGCCTTCTCTGAGTGTTCGCTACCAGCCGGGCCGGGCCGTGGCCCTCAGTAAAGCAGCCCTCTGCCTGTTCTGCCCACAGTCTGGCCGAGGGCTCCCAGCCACGATAGGGGAGCAGCAGACAGCTCTCGGCTCTGGGGACTACGAGGAGGCAAAGGTGGGCTGGATTGGTATTTTGAGGTAGAGTTGGTGGCTGCTTCCCCTGACCCAACCATTGACTTAACCCCAGTGTATTAAGTACTCCTGAACTTCCTCAAAAAAAAGGAGGCTAGGAGGCCCCTCTAGGGCTTATCTGAGGGGCCATCTCTAATAACTCTCCTGCTTGGTCTTGACTGAGCCCCAGAAAGAGCTGAAACCACTGATGAGGCACACCACAGCCCAGCCTTCCTCAGACCCAGCTGACTTTGCTCGTCTTAGCAGGCCCTCTCCTAATATGTCTATCCTGCTCTAGGTCCTTCTTCCCTGCTAGGGTGAGGGGCACAATGATTCTTTAAACTAGATCCACTTTTGTAGCTTTGGCTTCATCATGATTTCACACAGACATGCAAGAGCAGAGATGCTGCTATCATAAACTTACACATCCACACAGTACTTCTAATTTTACTTTTTTTGAAACCTTAAACCTACCCTTCACCTTGAAATTCTACCTTTTCTACAGATAATCATCAGTGTTTTTCTAGATTTTTTTTAAAGTCCTATTAGATAAGAAATCTATTAACACAGAGTTCCCTTTCTGCAACACAAACTATCCATATATATTATATATATATATATACACACACACACACACACATACACACACAAACCCATTTAGAGATATTTAAATTTCAAAATGGAAAATTAAACTAATAAATAAATGAAAAATAGCTGTTTTATCTTTAACTTAGTATCAAAAGTGTGACAATTTCTCATTTGGACTAAGATTTAAGTGTCCAGGGTTATATTTTTCAAGACCTAGAGCATTCCAGGTCCCTTGCAAAATGACAAATGGGATTAATTGGCAAAAAAAAAACTTGTAGGATTCTCCCTTCTTAAAGCTTATATTGTATTAGAATACAATTATATAAACAAAAAAGTATATGATGTTAAAAATATATGTTATAGTATATAAAAATCCAAATTCCTGAGACTTCTTTGTCTTTTATGGTTTTATACCTGCTGTACCTTTTCAAAATTTTGTTTCGTCCCAGAACTCTACTATGAGCTCCTTGAGAGCAGAGTTTGCATCATTATCCTTTGTATCCTGACTTTCTTGCACAAGTCTGGGCCATAATCTGTAATCACACATGTTTTTTTATCAATAATAATTATTCTTGTTTACTTGATCATTTCCTTATCTTACACCTATAAATTCCTTAAGGTAAGACTTGTTTTTATTCTCTTTCTCCCCTAATATGCATACACATACATACATATATATATACACACACATATATACAGACATACACACCTATATGCACATATATATACACATATACACATATATATTCTATTTCTCTAGAACTACTATTCTATTTCTCTAGAATTACTACTGGGTTTATGGAGGAATCTTAACAGTATATGCTGCATGCCCCATCATTTTCATCATGCTGGACCAGGATCCCCTGGAAAGACAATAGTGCTTTTGGCAGACACATACGCTCCTTCAATATTCTTAGCACTCTGCATCCTACAGAGGAGTGTGTTTAAAGCTTCTGAAACTTATCACCTTTACCTATATAATTTTAAAAGGCTGACAAAAATTATATTTGGTTGTTTCAATACTTATATTAATTATGCTAAATGACTAATCTGTAAAATGATGTACAAAGTACAGATCAAGGGAAATAAGTAAATTATCCCTAAGTGATCATTTTTAATGTGTTTATACACTAAATAGGACTTCCCTGGTGACTCAGCTGGTAAAGAATCTGCTTGCAATGCAGGAGACCTGGGTTTGATCCCTGGATTGGGAAGATCCCCTGGAGAAGGGAATAGCTATCCACTCCAGTATTCTGGCCCGGAGAATTCCATGGACTGTATAGTCCATGGGATAGCGAAGAGTCAGACATGACTGAGCGACTTTCACTTCACTTTATACACAAAATAACTTACACATGGAAAGAATCCATTTTTGACTTGAATTATCTGTTTCTTCATTCAAATGACTCTGTATACTGAATCCACTAAGAATATAGAAGGCCTTTTAACATTTCTTTAATAAATAATTCACATTCCTTTTTCCCAAGTGAGAAATAAATGTGGCCATATACAAATCTCATAGTTTGATTACATTATTATTTTATTATTAAGTAAAAAGTTTGAATGAGATCAAGTAATTATTAGGTCTGTCTCACATTTTTTTACACTATTGTGGCTTATAACTTCCAGAAATATCTTAATTTCTATAATAAATCAATTAACTAAAATTCAGTATTGTACTTTGCCAGATAGATAATGAGTTGACACCTACTGCCATACAATGAATTATAACATTAATACTATGTAACATCTTTATATTTCATTTAAACAATGATATATAGCATCAGTTTATATTAAGTATTAGACCTTTTAAAAATTATAAACTTAGGATATGTGTGTACTAAAGGAAAATAATGGGACACATGATTTTGATTTTCTATTATTAGCCATTTTGGTAATAAAGTTTACATGTTTTCATAATTCTAGATAGTATCTTTGAATATAAGTAAGTTTTCTGCTAATAATGACATTTAATAAATGATCTCCAAGACTTAATTTTCTATTATTCCCTATGCTATTTCATGTCAGTTTTTAACCAGAAAGAAAATTAACGTGAATCTGAACCCTCTTGGTGTGGTGGTGGTAGTTGCTTAGTCATGTCTGACTATTTGCAACCCCAAGGACTGTAGCCTGCCAGGATCTTCTGTCTATGGAATTCTCTAGGCAAGCATACTGCAGTCAGTAACCACTTTTTTCTGCAGGGATCAAACCCAGGTGTCCTGCTCTGCAGACAGATTCTTTACTGTCTGATTCCCCAGGGAAACCAATAGAACCCTCTTACAAAATATTTGTTTTTCAAAGTAAATGTAGAATCAATATCAACATATGAAATTATATGAACACTTGGTAAAGCAATTGCTGTATCTCACAGGAAGAAAATAGTTTAAGAAAAGAAAGAAACCAGACACATTAAAGGTAAGCCATTTTTAAGAAACTATTCTTTAAGTAGTATGCACTAACAAATTCCAAGAGTTCTAGAGATGTACCCCTCAAAAACTTAGAAATAATGCAAATCATGGTATCTACTAAAAGTTAAACAAGAAAATCAAAACAGTGGATCAATTAAAAAACCTGACTGAAGTTCTAACATAAAAGAAGAAAGTAACAATTAAATGAAGCATTTGACATAAATAGAAACAACACATTCTGTTAGCAAACTCATAAACATATCCAGAAAGAGGATATTCTGAGAGCAGATGTGAATGCATCTCTAAAAAGATGGGGTGCCTAATGATGATACAACCTGGTGCCATTACACCCCCAAACTCTTGTTCTGAACACAGTCTACCAAGTAATATTCTGATTATAATATGGCTAACATGGCCTATAGGGAGAGACTGCACTTGCCAAAAATTGTATCTTCACACTGCATTTTAAAAATGAGAATTTTAAGGTATTATAATCAGTGTTAGTCTTTCTGAGGCCAGTCAACACTGAATGATCAAGAGTACTACTGACTGCATCAATAAGATTATGATGATGAAGCTAAAATTGACTGAAGACTTTAACACATGCCAGACACCATACTGAGCATTTTAAGACTTTAAATTCACTATCTCATTTAATCTATGCACACACCATTTCTGTAAGATAGGTCATTACTTTAATATTGTATTATTATATTATTATATCAATTTTTCTCTTCATGGACAAATTGAGTTGCAAGGCAGTTAGGCTACTTGCTCAGGGTCCCTCGTAAGTAGCAGAACACAAATGCAATCACAGCCTGTGCCGCAGGCTTCATTCCGCTGCTTCCATAGTGATCCAACTCTAGGAATGACCTCTTGATCTCACTGACCAATTGTTTTCTTTTAGATTTCCACAACTGATGTGTTTTGGGTAAGAAAAAAAGGAATATAAGAAATTGTATCTGGGATCTGGTGGGCCAATAAACTTTCAATTTAAAACAACTAAATCAGTGTTATCAATGAGTGTTTTAGGAGAGAGAAAAAGAGAGCAAGGAAAAGCTCAATCCTTTGTTAGGTATGAGAGTTGCAGCACAGTAAGAGGCACTGATGGCCCCTCTTGAGTTGTTGTTACTTTCCAAAATTGAACCACTTTAGTCTTCATGAATGTCAGTCTTCACATATATTAGTGTAGCTTTAAAAAAGAAAAAAAGAAAAGGGGCACAGAAGCTTCATCCATCTTCTGAGACTTCATATCATGACTTTCTATAGAAGCACTTTGCATTTAAAACAGTGAACATGTTCAGAAACATAATGGTTTGAATCTAAGAGTTAAAAGCTTTAAACACAGGCTATGAGAGCCAACTTAAGGCAATGAACATAGAAATATAGTAGCAGTACCATATGCAATGTTGATGGATGGTCCTGTGACTCAAAGTATTTGCTAATAAGTGTATTACATAAAATCCTATTTTGAGAATCTACTAATAAAACTCAGCAAAGGACAGGAAATAGATAAATGCATGTGACTAAGCACCGATGTTTCCACTTCATAATTCATCTGGTGGCATAATTTTGCCAGCTTTAACTCCACTATACATTTTTTTTTAATTGTTATTTCATTGGTCTGCTATCTGAACATCATCTCTGAAAGAAATATTTATAGGTAAAACTACATCTTCTCATACAATCATTCATAAATAATACATATTTGGAAAGAAGAGACAAAATTATGAATGAGAAAAATATTATTAAATCTATTTCATTCTGGAGTAAGACTAGGAAATAAAAGTCAAAAGCTATTCTCCTTGGTTCATGACAGAACCCATTTCCTAAATTCACCAATGTTGTACTTTGACTTGAGCTAGGAGAAAGCCACTATGTAGCAAGCAACAGTGGAGAAGGAAATGGCAACCCACTCCAGCATTCTTGCCTGGAGAATCCCAGGGACAGAGGAGCCTGGTGGGCTGCTGTCTATGGGGTCACACAGAGTTGGACATGACTGAAGCGTCAGCAGCAGCAGCAGCAAGCAATAGTAACGGCTTGGTATGAATGATATGTCAGGTTGACACTACATTCAGAATTCCAAGAAGTGTGGTGGTTGATAAATATAATTTAACATAAAGGATGCTTTTCTACTAGAATATTCAAGTAGGATGTGCCTATTCATAAAAATCATCAGTAGCATCAGATATATGTGTATAATAAATGAATAATGGTGACAGGTTAGGTTCTGACTTCACAGAATCCAAAACCCATCAGAAAATAAGACATATGTACATAACAGAAAAATAAAATACATATAACAAATAAGAAACTGAATACTCAAGCAAAAGACAAAGTGGCGGATATGAAGATGCGTGCCTGTATGGGCACTCAGTCACGTCCGGCTCTGCGAATCCATGGACTGTATCCTGCCAGGCTCCTCTGTCCATAGGATTTTTGAGGCAAGAATAATGGAGCAGGTTATCATTTCCTGTCCCAGGGGATCTCCCCGACCCGTGATGGGGATCGAACCCCTGTCTCTTGCATTTCCTGCATTGGCAAGTGGATTCTTTACCACTGTACCTCCTGGGAGACCCGAGAAAGGAGATAATGAGGTACCGATATCAAAATAAGTAATAACTTCATCACCAAAGAAACTGGTCAATTCAGGGAAAGGGTAATGATATAAGCAAAGTATAAAGAAGCATATAGACATCTAACATTTCTCAAACGCCAATATGCATCAGAAACTAAGCTATCACAATATCTTTACATTATTTAACTTAGTCTAATTAAAAACTGTTGAATACACATTCTTGTGCTCATTTTATAAGTATACTTAGATTCAAAGAAAGTTACTTGCATAAGTCATATAAGTAGCATAAAATAGCTAATAGGTAATAAATGATACTTACAGCATATAGTAAAGTCAAGGAAACAGATTTTCAGAAAAACGATGGTGTAGCAGAGTGAATAAAGCCATGGATTAGTGCTCATAAATACTTGGTCTTAAAATCTGGCTCTATTTGACCAGAAATATGATCTTGAAGATGTTAGTAGATAATTATAAATATGTGAAACTACATGTATGTGTATATCAAGTGTATATATTGTTGTTGCTTAGTTGCTAAGTTGTGTCTAACTCTTTGTGACCCCATGGACTGTAGTACGCCAGGCTCCTCGGCCCTTCAGTATCACCCAGTTTGCTCAAATTTACGTCCATGGATCAGTAGTGCTGTGTAATACTAATTTTAATGCAAAGTCTTATGTTGTTGTTGTTCATGTCTGACTCTTTGTGACCCCATGGACTGCAGCATTCATTTTATAGAGATGTAAATATAATATTTTATTAAATTATTTAGCGTGAAGATATGTACTTAAACATTGTGTCAGAACAAGCCGACAATCATTGTATAAGGATTACAGTTACAAAGTTGGCACTATCCAATTCTTCCTTTGACAATGATGCACAAAAAGATACAGAAATATTCTGATTCTGTCTCAACTCTTTCAGGATCATGGATAAGACGACCATCACCTAAACGTCAAGGCATATTAGTGAGGACACGTTTTTAGTTATTCAGTGGAATATCCCCAACATCTCAGTGGCTTAAAATTACGTTTGCTTCCCTATTTGTGAAAATATAATCTGTTGACTCCAAGACAACTGGTTTCCATGCTTCTGTAACAATTCAGGCTGACAGAAGTTCTACTACTTTATAATTTTCTGATTCAGATCACAATGTCTCCAGGTTATAAAAAGGGAGGGGAGAAGAAATGCTGTGTCCTCCACTGGGCTTAGCTGCTCAGTCGTGCTTTGTGACCCCATGGACTGTAGCCCAACCGGACACCTCTGTCCATGGGGATTCTCTAGGCAAGAACACTGGAGTAAGTTGCCATGCCGTCCTCCAGGGGATCTTCCCAGCCCAAGGGTCGAACCCAGGGCTCCTGCATTGCCGGTGGATTCTTTACCAGCTGAGCCACCAGGGAAGCCTGTCCTCCACTGAGATGAATTCAATCTGTTTCAATTAATATCCAGCACGCTCTGATCCTACTCAAGATAAAGGAAGTGGAGGATTAAAATTAACCTTGTTCGAGAGAGAACCAAATGAACAAAAATGGGAATCAGCACCAGAAGTCTAAGACAAAGCAGGAAGTGGTGTCTAAAACTTTGGAAATAGGGAACATGTTTGACAGAGCTACTGGGAAATAGGGGAGTCATGAAAAGCTCAACAAAAGCGTGATCAAGTAGTACCAGAGGTCTAATGTGAGATCATGGATTTATGATAAGTTTCAGTCCTCATGTGATTTTGATTTTTAGAATGTATAAGGAGAAAGACTATGAACTGACATAGTTGAGAGTCAAGGGAGAGGAAATTACATTGCAATCTCAGGGTGAATATAAAATATTGAGCCTGGATAAAAGCCAAGTAAAGCCAAGAGAATTAAAAGCCTGGGTCCAATAGATATCAGTGATGACTGCTGCTGTAGGTGCCTAGACATATGAGTAGGTAAATTACAGTAAAGCAGTTAGAAGAGTCAGTTTCAGCATCAGCATCTTTTCTGACCAAGGGTCAGTAACACCTCTGAACTCTTAAATTCAAAAATAAAATTGTTCCACTGGATGAATGGATAGTGATAAAATAGCTGTGTACTCATTGCCTACCCATTCAAGCCTAACAATGACCTTTTGCTAAAACTGCCTGTCTTGAGTAATGCCTTACTTTTGCATGACAGGCTGTTTCAAATCTCACTGATGAAACTTTGTGCTGGAAATATGTTTATGGTACTACTTCATAGGGTGCTTCACTTAAAAGAACAGATCACCCCTGAAGTTGATATTCATATGAACAAAGTATTGTGCCAGAGAAAAGCATCTTCTAAATTAATGAAAATAGCACACCCGTGATTTTTTTCTTTTTCTTTTTGCTATTTGTATGTTAGCCAGTAGGGTATAACAACAACAACAATCATATAAGAAAAAGGAAGAAGAAAAGTCATATATCCTCATAGTCATTATGAAGAAGTTAGAGGATAGCAATTTGCACCAGTGATGGGCTATTTGGCTTCTGTCTAGTTGAAAGGAATGCTATCCATATAATTGACCTGATTTTCCCTGGTAGCTCAGCAGTAGAGAATCTGCCTGCATTGCAGGAGTGGCAGGAGACAGGTTCAATCCCTGAATGGGGAAGATCCCCTGGAGGAGGGCATGGCAACCCACTCTGGTACTCTTCCCTGGTGAACCCCATGAACAGAGAAGCCTGTTGGGCTACAGTCCATCGGGTCACGGAGAGTCAGACATGACTGAAGTAACTTAGCACACACACGTGAAATTAGCTAATCATGCAAAACCTTGTCAGTTAATTATCACTGTCATTTGTTGACAAAAAGGAAAGAGTATTCATTAAAAATACTGACTCGTGCTTGATTTTTCATATTAAAAAAACCCTACAATTACTTTAAACAAGAGAATGTTAAACATTTTAGATAAATATTTGCAGAGTGAGATCACCAATGTGCCATTGGAAATGTACTTTTTGGGATTGTAGATCAGAAGCATATAACCTTGAGTTTTATTTATTTATTTTTTTTATTTATTTATTTTTTATCACAACCATAGTGTATCTTTTTTTTTTTTTTTTTTTACATGTATTCCCCATCCTGGTCCCCCCTCCCACCTCCCTCTCCACCCAATCCCTCTGAGTTTTAAAGGTTTGATTTCAGATCTCTACCCTAGTTAAAACTTTCTCTCAAGAGATATCACATCAGTAGCCAACTTGGCATTTAAGCTATAAACATTAGGTCTCCTATAAACATGTTTGGGGGTTGGTATTTAATTTCACTACTATGTATGTGTTTATTTAAGACAAATTCAGTGTCATTAATTTGTGAATATCTCTGGTCCTCAAACTGGCCCCAGTCTGATCAATATTTGAAATAAAATCCTACAGAAGCCTCTAGGTCATGTGTATATTACAAATGTGCTACCAAAATTGTCGTGAGCCAACAAAGTGATCATACAAATTTTTTAAATTATTTAAAGTTGAACTGAAAGGCAATTAAATATGATTTAACATTCATAAAAATATATTGAAAAATGTAAAAATTTCCCTTAGACATTTTACTATAAGTCTTTAGTGAATAGATGTTCCAAAGAGTGAATAATGATTACTGTTTGGTGTGTTTTCCTCTCTACTCTGCGTTCTTGCAAGGGCTGAAAATACACCTTTTCCTTTACATAGCTAGCCCATGTCCCATAATTGATACTAAACACATCTTTGTTTATTAAACAATCTCATTACACAATTCAAGACATCCTTCTACTTATCACTAACCAGAAGGAAATTTTTTTAAACATTAAGTTCATACTGAAAAACATTCTCATTCTATATTTTAGTGAATTCTCACAATACAGTGCATCACTTTTACTTCTGACATAAAATAACTTGTTTTAAAAACTATGGTTTTGTGTTAGAGCTTTTTTATATTTATTTATTTATAATGTTATAATTGAGCTTCATTAAAATCAAAGGCTTGGCCTTATTACTTTCCTTTAACATATATTGAATTTTTTCTTTGAATCTCATTTCCTTTATATTTTTATTATCTGTCATGCGGAACACAGATGTGTTAAATTTCTGATTAATGAAAGAAATCATGGAATAATTGAATTTACTGAGGACACTTGCATGGAGTAGCTGCAAATAGGAGACAAGGCTGGTGAGTTTTGAAATGAAATGCATTGCTAAAGAGGGAGCAATGCAAAAGTCGAATCTACTTTTCATGGTGTAGCTTAATCTTGAACATTTAAGGCTCACAAGAAATTACTTAAGTGTTTCTGATTACATAGTCAATTATTTTCACATAATTTATGAGTAAATGGATTGTTAACAACATAATCCCATTTTATTACTTGTGAAGATAGTTGATTAAAATTTTTAATAAGATAGGTTTTGCTCTCTTACATTTGTTATTAAATAAAAAGTGGCAGACAATATTTTTTTAAAGGCTTACCTTAAATCAAACAACCCGATTTTATAAGTGTTTCCAATGAATTTGGCTATCCAGAAATGTTGCTCTACTAAAATAATGAAGACATTTGAAGGAGAAATCCAAGTGTTTAGGAAATGTATACAGTTTAAGCCTTAGAATTAACACAGGGCAAAGGAGAAAATCCTTGTATAGTTCATGAGAGCCTATCTTTGCACATTTGCCGGCCTATTGGAGTTTCAGGGTTCCCTCAGTCAAGACACCTTTTATGCTAGGTGCCAAAGTAAAGCCCTGGCTTTATTTTGAATTGTAGATCCCTTAAAGGGAAACCCTCCCCTTCCCCAGTTTATGTTTTTATTTTCCTTTGACAGTGTCTGCAGCTGTTTGAGGACCGCCCCCGCCCCAGAACTGTCCAAACTATCGTGTTTCTTGAAGAAAAAATAAATTATCACTCAGATTCCAGTGTACGTACACATAGACACTAATTAGAAATCATATCCCAGACACACCAGGGACTTGTTTTAGCATATTGTTTATGATATATTATCTTCTCCTATTTGTATTTATAAGACATCAGAAAATCATAAATAAGGGCTAAGTTTGGATTCTATGAACATACAGCAAAATCATCTGGGGACTCAGTACTTACACACTGTTGGAAACTGACACTTATTGTGACCAGCATAAATTTATTTTGGCTAAGACCACAAAACATTGAATAGTTTTACATATTAACATATACAATATGCAGACCATTAAGAGTTAACGGCTCTAGGCCAGGTCTAAGTCAGTATTGTATTCACACATCTTAGCTTTTCTTTTTCCAAAATCAATATCTGCAAATAATAAATGAGATCCCAGAGGGTTGAGTTAAGCTCCAACTACCACAGAGCAACTCTGCAATTGGTCATTGACTCAATAATGCAGGTGAGTGCCACACTATAGAACATCTTTAGCACACTATAATAGAAAATTAATAGCTTTCAAATCAGCACTAGGGTTACCCTAAGGATTACATAATAGCTTGAGTTAGAATACTCATCCAACTCCAAGAAGTATAAAATGCCATAAAGATCTGAAAAAGATACAAAAGCCTGAACATTATGCTTAATTTGTTTCCCTGCACATTGTTTCCTTCTCAGACAACAAAAGGCTAATGATATAAAAGTGTCATGTTGAAAACAATGTGCTGCATTGCAGAGGTGTCCATGGTGTCCCTATGAAGTTCATATGTCGCTGGACAGAGATTTGTATATCAGAATCAGGAACCTCTGCATTGTAACTATTCTTTCTTAAAGTCAGTAAAAAGTTAAACATTCTACACACATCCTCATTCTATCTCAACCCTTAGGTTAAAGTTTCCCCATGAGAAGCAAAAGCTTTGTTTATTTCCTCTGCTATGTGACCCTTTCATTCATGGAGATCAGAATGGTACTCTGACTGTAGGTTTGCAAACTAAATTTAAGAAGGAAAACATAAAGAAAAAAAAATAATAAGGGTAACT